TCCACAAAGTGATTTCAAACAAACAGGGACAAATATCACACTAAAAAATGTGTAATACTTGAATAAACTTCAAATTTTCAATTTGTTTTATTCAAATAATTACACTATAATTTTGTTACCTTTTAATGGGTGTATTTCATATTAATTATAAATTATATAATAACTATATTTACCTTTTTTTTTTCTAAATCCATATTAGTGGTCCACCAAATTTAAACTTATATATTTAGTGGTCCATGAAGCTAATTAGGTCCAGTAATCTTGTGATTGCTTCCCAAATATAAATAAAGGCTTTATAGATCTGTATATAGTTACTTGATTCGGGACCAGATGACATTGTTTTTTTTTTAATTATTTGATTCTGTAAGCATTTATTTGGGTCGGGAATAGTTTAGTCCATAAGCACTTACTTAGCAGGGGACCTATTTTGTTAAGTTGCCCTCTTCAGGGAATGATTTAGATTATTCTAGGCCTCGTCAACCAGAATAGGGTATTGCTGGCGTATTTGAAAACAGATATTCAAGACGCATTTTCAATTTCAATTCAAACTTCTTTCTAACAATAATTTTTTCGTAAGCAAGTTTATCCACTTGAGCAATATAATTTTATTTCCATTTATCGTATATGTATAATCTATTAAAAAAGAGATTTGAGTTTAAATTTGAATAACATGTCCTGTATTTTTGTTTGTCAAATCTGAGCCGTAACATTCAAACCTAAAAAGAAACAAGAGAAATTACATTAAATCAGTAATGAATAAAATTATTTCCTAAACCAGTCGTCATAATGGATGATCTTCAGAACAGTTTAGATATGAGGACGCCTTCTCATATAATTCAAAAAAGAATTATCCCATTAAAAAATCTATGCAATGAATATGCATACATCTATCTCACACCCTCACAGTCTATAATATGATTGGCTGGTGTCAAAAATAAATACAATCTGATGGGGAGGTACAGGAGGATGGTTATTGACTACGCCTATTGCCTATCATTTATCTATCTATCCATCCATTATCTGTTATCTATCTAGATTGTTTTAAAAGCGGTTATTTATTTATCTATCTGTCCACTTTCTGTTATTTAAATTCAAGAACTATAAGTTAACAAAACTAAAAAATGAATATGCATAAATCTTTCCCTCTCAAATGTAATATGTTTGGCTGGTGTCAGCCATAAATACAGACTGATGTTTGGCATTATTTCGCCTATGGTCTTCGCCTATTGCCTAAATCACTACAAAATGACCCGTTCATTAAGAAAAAGCTTGATTGTCCCACTCGATTACAGTAGCTTGAAACCAAACTTTGCTACTTCGAATTGTCACAAATATATCCCTTTCCGAACATATCAAAAACAAAAGAACTTATCGTAACATATAAAAAAAATTAAGTTTCTCACGCAAAGTAATTATTATTTTACAAAATGATTTAATGTTAATAATTTTATTTTTAATTGTCTTTCTTATTTCTTTGATCTCATTTTGCTTACTTTTTTGTTCTAGATTTTTTTCTAAATATGGCATTTCTACAAACGACATTCTGTACTACTGAACAAAGATTTTTTTTCTCCATCAATTTGATGACGTCATCAATAGCTTTCTCTATAGTCTTCTTAATCATCCTTCATATTTTCCTCAAATTATCGGAAGAATTTGATTCTTCCTCTATTTTTCAACAATGCAAACCATTTTGAAAGTGATTCTACCGTTGAGGCTTTTTTGAAATCAATTAACGTCTTCATCTATCCATTCTCTTCAGTGAGAGTATCCAGTGGATGATCTTCAAACTCATCAAGTTTTTTTGATTTCATTCAGATTCTACAATCCTTGTTTGTTTATTTGCAAATTCAACGTATTAGGAACTTCGTTCAGTTTTTCAATAATCTCTAATTTCTGAATGTAACGTGAAAGAATTTTGTTTTCCTTTTTTTCCAGTTGAAATCCTTTTGTGCAAGACATGGGTTGAAGAATTTCAAAAGCTTAACTAACAATTGTCTGCAAAGAAAAAGAAAAATATTAAATGTAGAATATTCATACAACATCTAAATTAACATTGACAAGTTCGGATTTGAGGAACTTTTTCAAATCGTTTTTTCATTATTTAAAGTATCTTATTGTACTAATGTCCTCATCTTTTTTGTTCAGATCACAACGTTTCGACCGATGCGCCTTTCAGTCTTCTTCATGTGTCTGTAGCTCCGGCAACCTTCTGGAAATTTAGAAGTGTATCCTCATTCCACTGTCCATAACTAAGTTTTTCTTTTTTTTTTTTGAGTTCTTGATAGATTCTGCTTCGGTTGAGTCTGAATAATACTACCCAAAACAGGGATTGAACTCGCGGCCGGATAAGAAAGGATATAATCTGAGGCAATGGTAAAAAAGATTAGCACCAACAGATCGGTACTAACCGGAAAAAAAAACTAAAAGGAGTTACTTGTTTTTGTTTTTAATTTAAATTTTTTCTCTTGATTCTCTATTAAGAAGAAAAAACCTTTTCGCTTGAACATTTTATTTATGTTTTCTATATGTTTCCACTAAATCTTGTTAATTTAAAAATAATTAAAAATAGTTCGTAGCATCTAAAATAAGATTTAAAATTGCTGAACATAACTGGAGAACTATGCAAACAGAGTTTGAAAAGTTGGTATTCGGACTTATACAAAGTTAAAACTTAATTATTTTATTTTATATTCTATTTTTAACCCCCAGATTTTCCATCCCGCATAAGGTAAACCCTTTGAAAATTAATTGAAACAAAACGAATAATTTTGTTATTATTTACTTTTTTTCGTATTTTTCCAATGAAACATGATCCATTTCACATGTTAGTACTTCGTATGTCCATTCCACGCAGTCGTTCCTTGTAGATTGACCAAAGATTCTCGATTGGATTTAAATCTGGACAGTTTCAGGCCATTCTATAGTACTTTGATTTGATAACTGGTTAGGCTTGACAGTGTGTTCGTGCAGCATTACAATTTTTCGTACGCTTCCTTGCAGTAACGTCCATCGCAGACAATGGCCATATGACAACTAATCGACAGTCGAGACAATAGTGTTTGGGCGTGATAAAAATCTGATGCAATCACGGATGACATAATTTTTTCAAGGCCAAACAAATTTCATCATACACCCCGAAAATAAGTTCATATTACTGCACACACCTCTGCAAATGACCTAATCTAATAAAAAATAGAAATCGATTGCATCCTATCATCAAGTGGGTCTAAAATTGACCGTATGGTGAAAGAAAGGAAACTAAAGCGGCTGTTTCAATTAATTTTATCAAGGGTGTATGTATATATGTTTGTGCTGTGGCATCTGCGGGCCGCAACTAGACTCTCCAGGTGAGCTATCTGAAAGAAAGTTCGTTTTTTGAAATAATTTATTTGGAAGTCAGATTCTGTTTTTGTTTAATAGGAGTAGATAGGTTCTCCTATCGCCCGGTCCATACTTCTCACCCTTCTCTTGAACAGGAGTTGAGGCTCATCCCTTGTTTTCTGTTTAGGAAGAGATTTTCGGTTCCTTTCCTTTTCTCAGACCCTAATAGTGCTATCATGAATTTTTTGTGATATGTGTGGATGGTGGCAACGTCTCTTCACACTGAGGGTACCGGGTTGGCAGTTTTCTGGTTGCTGTTCCTGACTGGAACTGGGAGCCCGAACTCTTGCGTAGCATCTTGAGAGGGTGCTCTGATAAACAGTTGCATAATATCGGGGTTATTGCAGTGTTATGACGCGCATGGAAGGGTACCACTAGAAGCACCTCTGTTGTAGTCTGCGCCAGTTCCCTCCTACACATGTCACATTAGATGACCGACTGCTGCTATTAACCTAGGCCTTTTCTTACCAATACAACACATTATTCGTGGCATTCGTGTGAAATCGTTTCTCTTCGAAAAGTCTCAGGACATTCTAGCTGTCTGCGAATCTAACCTTGTCTTCAACTTTCTCTTTTCTCGATTCCTGGCTATCTTTCTGTCCTTAGAAAAGATTCTAAAGTTCACATGAATGACCTGAGAGTTTATGGCTTGAATACCCGGTCTATTCACACATGTGCCTCCGGCTCTCTCTACTTAACTCAGTCAGCTACCTCTCCTCTGTCTACCGTGCCCCTGCCTCTCAAGACTATTTCGTGCTAGATAGTATCTCAAATAATATAGACAAGGCCATCTCCCTACACTCGTTTGCGAACATATTCGTGTTCGTTTACTTTGATGTCCACCATACCAAGTGACTTCAACTTCACTGTCACTGACCTCCTTGAACTTTTCAATCACTTAACCCCTCACACAAGTAGTTGATTTTCCCACGCGTTTCCACAGTAAAACTGACGGACACGCTTCTCTTCTTGATCTCTTCTCATCCTCTATCCCTGACTCTTATCGTATTACGCAGCTCTGCCCTCTTGGCAACTCTGATCATGCGGTAGTATCTGTAAACATCTTCAGCTACTTTGAGCCAAATGACAACTGAGTTTCACGATATGCAGTCGTCGTCTGCCACGCCATAGCTTGAAACTCACATAGCGTTTGGTTGGTTAGTATTACGGCTCTGTCTTCATCTAATATTTAGAATGATTTAGCCCATTAGCTTTTTTTTGTAGATAGATGTCTGCCTTCTTATTGGGCCTGTACTGGCATCTAGGAATACATTCACTTTCGCACCACCATAACATAGCTTCCCTGTTCATTTTCTGTAAATACTTTGATGGTATGAACTTTCCTCTATGGAACCTAGTCTTTATGAATTTCAGTGCAGTACTAGATTGGCGGAAAGGTCTCATCAGTTTACAGTTAAGGCTAGACGTAACCGTAAGTTCTATGCTAACAGTTTCTTTTCTCGCACTTCTTGTTTGTGGAAATCACTTCCGGCTTCTTGCTTCCTAGTTAACTTTGATCTTTAAAACTTTAAATGCAATGACAATCGTTATCTTCTATCTTCTTAAATCCTCTTCTTTTATTGTCCTTAATAGTATATTTTTCTCATATTTCCTGCTTACGGCCACATCAGGTTGAAACACCGGTTCCTGTATGATTACCGAAGTTAAGCAACGTTGAGCCTTGTCAGTACCTAGATTGGTGACCATTTGGGAATACCAGGTGCTGTAAGCTTGGATGTGCAGGTTGTGTAATGCATAATGGCTCTGAATTCTTAATCGAAGAGCCGAATTTCAATTCCAATTGGGTTCGTTATATTCACTTACGCGAAAATACCCTTTGGAATGGTATGAATCCACTCCTTCCCACCAACTATGGGTTAAGTAGTAAGATTTTTATCACTAAACTTTTTTTTATTGTTTCCTCTACTTACAAGTGTATTTCTTATATTCTCTAACACTCCGCAACGCCTTGCATCTTAGTGGCTTTAGTGCCTTGTTTCAGGTGAAATTATTAATATACCGGCTGTAACAGCAAAATTGTCCAAATCGTGTAACAGCATCCGATAATTGTCCAGCCCACAAAATGTTTAATATCTAGAAAAAAGAAAAAAAAATAACTTGTCGTAAGAATCACTGAAAAAGCCTTTGAGTTGTTGAGGGAGAACGAAAACAGTTCAAAATCGTTTTGTGCCAGACCGAATATGTCTTCCTAACTGAGCAATGGTGAGAGGAAAAAATTATTTAGGGCTTCGGTAATGGTACCAACATTCATACTCTGGCTTCCAACTTCAAGTCCATTCAAGAACCATCAAGAGAATGGTGAGAATGTTTAAAAAAGGTGGAACAGTAGAGAGAAAAACTGGATCAAGAGGTCACAATAGCAAGAGAGAGATCATCATTTCAAAATAGAGGCCAATAGTGTTATAAAAACCTTGGAGAATCTCAGTAAGATATATTTAATGATTTCTAAGATATAAAGTCTCAAATCTTAATCTAACAATTGGACAATTTTGCTATTACACTATTTGGACAATTTTGCTGTTACACCCGGTATATATATATATATATATATATATATATATATATATATACCGTTTATACGGCTTTGAATTCGGTTAAAAAAAAACAATTAATGTACGCCAACCTCTTCAGCAGATTGCTTCGGGCAGTGTGTTTGACTCGATTGGGAGCTATTCGCCCCTGTTTGGATTATTGATCTGACAAAAGTCTTGGTTCTTGCCAAATCGCTTTTACCCCACTTAGTGTATGTTACCAAATTTTATTCTACTACAACTAACATACCGAGGTTGTTACGAAATTAAATTAAGCCTGCTAGATATCGAGCCATCTACAAACATAAAATGGGCCAAGACACGCAATCTTGTATATTGATTATACACTTATTGCTTAACTACGTTTTCCGACCCGTTTATTAGAGGATATTAATGGCCTTAATCTCTACACTTGCCTTATCTCTTTTCTCCGTTCTCTATACAAGCCCTTAACTACTTTTAAAAGTTAGGTTCATTGTTATCCGAGAGACCTGCCAATCGCTACTGATAACGGTACCCGCCCTCGTAGTTCAAAGAGAAGACGTTTAGTATGCCATCCCTGCAAGGAGACAGAACATGGCTGCCCTGCAAGAACAAACCCCGGGACGCCTAGTTACGAAGAAAGAAAGCTTCAGTCAGTTTCCCCTTGAGATCATCGTGATGGTGAGCGGTGATGATTCATTTGCTAGCCAACCGCTAAGGCTCCATAAAAGCAGACACATTTTCTGGGAAGATGCAGGGCTTGTTCGTGCCATAGGGAAACCGCTGCCAGAGCAGTACCTCCTCATTGCACTAAAAAGGTGGGTCGGTAGGAATACTGATGCTCTAGCGCAACCGGCGGTTATGGGAGCTGGGCAAATTTTTGCTTTGGCCCGGGTGTATGTTCTCGAGTACTTCGCATGAAACCGACCTTGTGTCACATCTTGTCACAGTGGGGAGACGAATAAATACCAGAGCTAGACAGTACGCAATGTTAACCACACGACGTGACTCTCGGGCGTTGCCAAGGATTTTTGTCCGTGTTACCCAGCAACGTTTCAATTTCGTTTGTCCTTGTTTGTGTTCCCGGTGTGTCGGCTGCATTCTTCCCGTATGTGTGGTGTTCCCAGGTGAAAGTCTTGTTCGTGCCCTGCTCGTCCTGACCCCAGTGTTTGATTTCGGTGCTGCTAAGTTTTCCCTTCCTTTTCGTTGGTAGATACTCAACCTATAAGAAGAAAAGCCCTTTAAAGATACGTATCAATAGAAGTATGATTTTTAAAATAGCCAAGTGCGTTTTTTAAAGTACTTTCCATTGAATTACCCCCAAAAAAAAAAAAAAAAAAAATTAAACCTCATTGAGAAAAGGTATTTGCAAATAAAATCAGGGTTCAATATTTTTTTAATATTTAAGTATTTTAAAAAATTCTTTCGACTGACTCTTTATAAAACGTTGTGTCTTAATGTGGAAATCTATTTTCAAAACAACTCAGGAATCAGTAGCAGTGTATACAATTTATAGAACTAGAAATACCCCTGAAAACGTCACGGTTTTCCTATTGAAATTTCTGATGAATTTTAATTCTTAAGTTAATGCTTGAATAAGCTCATGGCGAGCTCTACGACAATAAAATATCCGCAGAAACCCCTCTATTGCATCGTTAAACATTTGAGCTGAACAACTTTAACAAAATATTGCAATAACAATCATAGATATGAATGCTGGTCGCTATTTAAGAAGTAAGGGGGTACAAATGAAAAGATTTGAAATTGGCAATTTTTTCCATCTATTTCAATAAAACAGCTGTTAAACCCGCCCGCGTTTCTTTCATTTTCGACTCAATGGGATTGCTGTATGTTACCAAGGATATTTATTTGTGTTACCCAGCCTCGTTTCAAATTCCGGTGTGTCGGCTGCATTCGTCCTGTATGTGTCGTGTTCCCAGGTGAAAGTCACGTCCATGCTCTCCTCGTCTGTGATCCAGTGTTTGATTCTGGTGCTGAGGAGTTTTTCGGATAGGTTGGTAAAGCTAAAACATAAGAAAATGTAGCATTTCTGTAGTTCTTAGGTTTTAGCTTTACCTTCCAGGGGATCAGTGAATTCTTCGGGTCGCAGTTGGCTTTGTGGTAATCTCTGGTGTTGCAGACACTGTTTAGGGAGTCGGGTCTGATCCTAACCAAGTTCAGCTTGGATACCTTGAGGATGCTTTGTGACAAGCCTCTTTCTCGGAATAGGTATTTTTCACATACAATTTGTGATAGCGACATTACTGTAGGGGGTCTTTGGCCATTCTCGTTCATTTTTCCTGATGCCATGGTGATCCGATACGTTCTGATAGCACTCTTAACCAATTCCAACCCTCGTCGCGTTGTAGTACCTCAGAAGGTAAATATATTCAAATTCTGGTCTTTGTATACGGGTCTAATTTGGTGTGTTAGTGCATAGATGCACACAAGGCCTTCATATGTAGAGCGGCGAAGGGTGACAATTCTCTCTGTGCTGCCTGCTAGATCCTACGGAGCAGGGTGTTCTTGAGAGCGAATCCAAATCCGTGGTGCCTGCATTCATTGATTTCTCTCTCTTGTCAGGCCTTCTTTATATATAAACTGTCCAGAAGTTCATTTAGCTCACGATCGATCACTGCAGTCTTGTGAGAGTCGTCATTTTTCTGAAGGTCATCAGACAGACCTGTGTGCATGGTTCGTACATTCCAGCCTACGCTACAAAGAACTAGAGTCTTCATTATTTTCCCATTTTACTGGTTAATTGGTGCATGATTATCGATCTGCTTGTTAAGCTAGCAGCTACACAAGTAGGCAGACTGTAACGGGTCAACACCCTAATCTTCGGTATTTGAGCAAGGGAACGCAGTGGTCTCTCCCACTGTCTCCTTTGAAATGGTACAGATTCTTAGGTTTTAACTTTACCTTTGAGGAGATCAGACATTGGTCAGTGTCGCAGTCTGTGCTGTGCTAAGCTCTGATGTTGCAGAGGTTGTTTAGGGATCTGCGTCTGATGATGACCAGATTCAGCTAATGCCAATGACTTCAATATCTCCAGAATGCTTTGTAACAAGCCTGTTCTAAAAAAGACATTTTTGTCACACACAATTTATAAATTAGCAGAATTCTAGGAGTCTTCTCCTATATGGTAAATATGTTTCTATGACATTTGACAACACTGTCAAGTTGAGTGTCTCCAGGGTGCTTTGTGTCAAGCCTTATTCTGAAAATAGGTGTTTGTCACATATAGTTTATGATGACAGCAGAATTCTAGGAGACTTTGGCCATTTTCATTCATTTTTCCTATACCATAGAAACCTAACATTTTTGGTCAGTACACTTGATCAGTGCCCACTGTTGCACTGAAGTCTCCTATAAGGTAAATATGTTCCTATGATGTTTGACGACGCTGTCAAGTTGAGCGTAGAACTGGTTTTTAACTTCGGGCATGGCTTGAAGAGTTGGTACATAGATGCACACAAGGTTTACAAAGCTTTTATATGTAGAGAGTCGAAAGGTGAGAATTCTTTCTATGTTCCCTGCATTCATCGACACTTTAACCCAGTCAGGAGAAACTGTAGCATTCTTCGTTTAGAGATCCACTGTCCTGTTTCCTGTAGAGCTACCATGTCATTTTTCAGTCTGTTTAGCTCACGATCGATCACTGCAGTCTTGTGAGAGTCGTCATTTTTCTGAAGGTCATCAGACAGACCTGTGTGCATGGTTCGTACATTCCAGCCTACGCTACAAAGAACTAGAGTCTTCATTATTTTCCCATTTTACTGGTTAATTGGTGCATGATTATCGATCTGCTTGTTAAGCTAGCAGCTACACAAGTCGGCAGACCGTAACGGGTCAACACCCTAATCTTCGGTATTTGAGCAAGGGAACGCGGTGATTTCTCCCACCGTCTCCTTTGAGGAGATCAGCCAGTGGTCAGTGTCACAGTCTGTGTGGTGCTAAGTTCTGATGTTGCAGAAGTTGTTTAGGGAGCTCCAACTGATGATGACCAGATCCAACTAGTGCCAAATGACCTCAAAGTCTCCAGAATTCTTCATGGCAAGCCTGTTCTCAAAAAGAGGTTTTTGTCACACACAATTTATCCTGATAGCAGAATTCTAGGAGTCTTCTCCTGATTCTCATGATAGCAGAATTCTAGGAGTCTTCTCCGGATTCTCATGATAGCAGAATTCTAGGAG